AGTGGGTAATGAGTAATGTGTAATGTAATGAGTAATGGTACTCTTGGGGGCTGGGGTGTAGTGGTTGGGGTTAGGAAACTAGGGTTTGGGCTAGGGTGGGGACTAGGGGGGGGGTGGCGGGGTCGGGTCCGAGTCTGAGACCGGCGGGTAGCGAAAGGGGGAGGGGGGGGGGTGTTCGGACCCTCCCCCCCCCCCACCCCCCCCCAGCCCCCCCCACCCCGCTCCCCCCCCCCCCCCCTACGCCCACCCCCCAGAACAGTGGATAGGCGCCAGGGACGTCCCAAGGAAAGGGAGGAAGAAGAAAGATAAGTGAAGAGGGTACAGGGGGGGCTAGAAAGAGACACGGAAGGACATCCAGCCCAGGAAGCCTGCACGGAAGGAGGCGAGAGCTTAGTTGATTATTTTTTTTTTTTGTTTTTTATTTTTTGTGAAAGGGGGGGAAGGGTGGGGGGGGGAGGTTCCCCCCGACGACGATCGGGGAAGGGGGGGGGTGGGGGGGTGGGGGTCCCCGACGACGGATCGGGGAAGGGGGGAGGGGGGGGGGTCCCCGACGACGGATCGGGGAAGGGGGGCGGGGGCCCATGCCGCGCCGCTGAGGATGGGGATCGGTTAAACGATACGCAAGTGCGCAGCGATGGCGGGGCGTCCGCGCAGGTCGCGCCCGTCCTTCTAAAAAGGGGACTTCCCCAAAATAATAGAAAAATCGTCGGGGTTGTTTGTTCAAAGCCATGTTTGATCATTCCGGGCGCATGTTGGGGGGATGGTTATAAACATCTGTTGCCAAATTTCCGCCTGTAGGGGGACATGCCCGACCTGATGCTAGTGCAAGGTTCATCTTTTACTTCTTTTTGCAAGGGGTGTGTGGGGGGGGTACTGGCACTGCACGCAGCGGGTAATGTGCTGGCTCCCCAGCCCCACCTTCCAAGAGCCAACCTGCAGTGATCGCGGGGCGTCGGCGCATGCTCCCGATGTTGGTGCAACGTGGACTTTCTTAGATAGTTTTAGGTCATTGGTGCTGGGTGTGCCGGCGTTGCGCACGGCAAGCGCTTTGCCGGCCCCCCGCCGCCCGTGTCAACAACGCATTGCAAAGGGATCGCAGCGCGTCCGCGCACGATCCAGATTTCGGTGCAAAGTGTTTTCTGTACTGTTCTAGTTGTGTTTGTTCCAGGGGATGGTGGGGGGGTGCTGGCGTTTTCCTCGCAGCAGGCGATCTGCCGCTCCCCCCCCCGCCGTATGAGGGGCAGCGAGCAGGCTACCCCCGGCCGCAAGCCGTGTCGCTGAGTGCAAGCACTGTTCGGGGAAACTGGGCTTGCCGACAGGCGACGCCCGAGTGCAGGCCGCATGACACGAGCCCAGGTGGAGTCAGAGGAGGAGAGGAAGGGAGGCATCGCGCAAGTTCCGCGGATCTGTATCATTCTCCTTCCCAAGGTCTGCGGGTCGGTCACGTCTCACAGCGCGGTGTGTCTTTTGTATGCGTCCTGGCCAGATTCTCGGCATCTCGAGGGGGAGCCCGGCTGTGTGCCCGTGGGACGACAAGAGCCCCCCCGCCACCCGGCAGAGAGGTGCAACAAGGTCTAGGCCTCCCAGGTGGGGTCGGAGGATCTCGCCGCCTCGCCGATGCATTGGCGATGCGGCTCGATGCGGAGCCCACTTTTCGCCACGCCGACGTCGCGGGCGTTTGTTGCAGGAGCAACTGCTTCTCTGCGGGACGGGCCGCCAGATATTCGCCGCAGATGTTCTTCGCAGCACTTACACCTTCGTCCCGAACACGACAATCCTGGCTTCGCAGGGGTATCTCAGGCGTCGTGGGCGCCCGAACAACGAGTGGACGACCATGGCACTAAGAGAATCATTTCGTGCCCTTCTGAGTTCTGACCTTGGGCATGATCAGCGTATATGGAACCACGTTATATAGTACTGTCAGCGTCCACGCGCTTTTGGCGTATGACGTCTGTGTGTGTATATGTGTGTGACGTCGCCGATGCATCGCCGACGTCGCCGGTTCATTGTCGATGCTTCGCCGATGCATCGGCGATGTATCGGCGATGCGGCGCCATCCTCCGACCCCATCTGCTCGGACCCCAGCTAGGAGGCCTCTGAGCAAAAATGCCGAGAATCCCAGGCCCCCCTGGGCGGCGAGGGAGGGGGGGAAGCGAGAAGGGTTAAGTGAATATTCAACAATAGTCAAAAAATGTGCAGGGGACGATGTTTCGATTATTGTTTGACTATTTTGGTGTGTTTTTATTATTTGCCCACATCCAAAGTGTTTTTTTGTTTTCTCTGGACACCCTCCGCGCAGGAACCTCACCTCCCTCCCACTCTTCGCCTCACTGACGCATTCATCCCGTCATCGGTCATCATCACCATCAGTCATCATCATCACCACCACCATCATCATCATACTCAGTCACTCCCATCGATCACCATCGATAATCATCATCGGCACCATCACCACCGCCATCACCATCATATTCAGTCGCACATCACACACACACACGCTCTCTCTCTCTCTATCTCTCCCATCACTCAGTATCATTCTCTCGGGACACCCCGCGCAGGAACTCCTCAGGCCTGAAAAAGGAGGAAGTATCAGGCAGGAGCCTCATCTGTGAGTGAATTGTGAGGATGTCTCAGGCGGAGCACCCTACCTATGGGGCCCTCATTTCATAATGGTAATCCGAGCGGGTCATCCTCATCCGTGTAACTGTCGACACTTTTGGGCTCCTGAGGCTTGAATATGGGGGAAGTCTCAGACGGGAGCCTCGTCTCTGAGTGAACTGCAGGCGGGAGCCCCCTCCTTATGGAGCCCGCAGATCATGTGTTTTGAGGAAGTCTCAGGCGGAAGCCCCCTCCCTATGGGACCCGCACTTCATGTTGGTAATCCGAGCGGGTCGTCCTCATCCGTGTAACTGTCGTCACTTCGGGGCTCCTGAGGCCAGAATGTGGAGGAAGTATCAGGCGAGAACCTCGTCTGTCCAATGAATTGCTAGGAAGTCTCAGGCGGGAGCCCCCTCCCTATGGGGCCCTATAATCCGAGCGGGTCATCCTCATCCGTGTAACTGTCGTTGCTTTTGGGCTCCTGAGGTTTGAATATGGGGGAGGTATCTGGCGGGAGCCTCGATTATGAGTGAATTGCGAGGAAGTCTCAGGCAGGAGCTCCCCTATGGGGCCCGCACCTCCCGTGCTTCCTCCAGATCGTCCTCTGGGACATCCTCCGGCGCTCGCTTCCTCTGGGTCGTTCTCTGGCGCGTATCCCTTGGGACGCACGTCGTGCGCTTCCTCTGGGTCGTGTCCCGCACGAGGAGGAGGAAGAGGAGGAGGAGGAGGAGGACGAAGAAGGAAGGGGGATGAAGGACGAGAAAGAGAAGGAGGAAGAGGAGGAGGAAACACAGGGCGAGAAGCACGAGGAGGACAAGGAGGAAGAGGAGTGTCTCAGGAGGCCCCAGGATGTCCCGGGAGGCCCAGAAGGCTCCAGGAGGCCCCAAGAGTCCCTTGGAGCAGGCAGGAGGCCTAAGGAGGAGGCAGGAGGAGGAGGAGGAGGAGGGAGAGGAGGAGGGGGAGGAAGATGGAGACGAGGAGGAGTAGGCGGAGGAGGGAGAGGGAGAGGAGGAGGCAGGAGAGGGGAGGAGGAAGAGGAGGAGGGAGAGAGTGAAAGCAGGAGGAGGGGGACGCAGGAGGCAGGAGGAACTGGGGGAGTGGGTGGAGGAGGCATAACGAGGAGGAGGAGGAGGTGGTGGAGGAGGCAAGAGGAGGAGGAGGCAGGGGTTGAGGCAGGAGGAGGAGCAGGCAGGATCAGGCAGGAGGAGAAGGACGAGGCAGGAGTAGGTGGGAGAAGGGAGGGGGCAGGAGGAGATCCCCAGGCAGGGTAACCATATTCTCATGTGGGGTCCTACCGTCGGAGTAATAATTATTTGTCCTCCAAAATCCGCCTGTAGGAGGAAGTGGCCGACCTAAGAGAAGGAGCGGGCCTTCTCAGAAGGCTCGGAAGTCCCCCAGCCTGTGCGATGTGTCCTGAGCCTTCTCCGGAGACATCAAAGAACTTCTCGGAAGGCGCGAGGGCCTCTGAGAAGCCCCGCCGCCTCCTGAGAAGGCCTTCTCCTTCTCACTTCCCCCCCTCGCCGTTCGCCGCCGAGCTCTATATTTGGGTCATAACTCGGGTGTCTGGCGGCCGTTCGGGACGATCAGGGCATCCCCAGAACGCTCTCGGCGAGGCGCAGCCGCTGGAACGCATCCCGAGGGCGTAAACCGCCAAGGAATTGCGAAGGCGCCCGAACATCTCACACCTCGAAGTTGTCGAACCTCGAAGCTCGAAGCTCGAAGTTCCCCCCCCTCGCTTGCCGCCGATCCCCCCCCTCTCTGCACGAGCGAAATGGGCACGGAAAGAATGGGTACAACGTCCAACAGCGGATCTGGTTCATTTTGAACAGGACTCGCTGTCCACGCCGCCGCGGCCAGTGTCCGTTCGAGACAGAAGGCCGCCTGCCCAACAGCGGCCGCTGCTGGCTTGGGACAACACTTGTCGTTGGATCAAGCCATTTTGGCTCAAGCCTCAAGCCATCGATTGTCACATCCTAACGCATTTCCGATATCCTACTCACAATCTCTCGCAAGCTTGTCGCACCGCTCTGGGCAGGCATGGGAGACAAAGGCAAGCGTGCTGGTGGCCATACCGGGTCGACACCAGTTAGAGAGAAGAAGAAGGAGGAGGAGGACGCGGCAATGGCGGAGTCGGCAAAGGGTTAAGAGGACGAGATTGTTCTGGCAGGCGGTCCTCCACAGTGGTTTAAGGACTTCGACGCCCGCTTGTCGAAGCAACTCGACGGCATCACGACCGACCTGAACGGCATGAAAGAAATGATTGACAAGGCGAGGATCGAGGCGCAGGACGCACGAATGGCAGCAGAGGAGGTTCAGGAGAAGATGGAGGAGGTGGAGATGGACGTGGAGGGTATCAGGAACGACCTTGAGGAAATGTACTTAACCGAAAGGAAATCGAGGACATGATCGATAAGAAGGACGACGAGAAGATCAGCAAAAGCATGAACATGCAAACAACATGGGGAGGACAGACACATTCAGGACATACGATCGCCGACCAACCCGAACGATCCCGCCAGGTACTCGCGCTTGGTTTCTCTGAGCGCCGGGCCGCGGATGACCTCATCCAGGAGATCGAGGGTATGCTTAAAGATTTACTTGGGGAGGACTTTGCAGCAAAGGTTGAGGCCCCCACGATCCCATCCAAAATGGGTATCATCACGTTCCGGAGCAGGCCAGCAAAAATCAATTTTTCAAAAAGGTACAGGACCCGAATAACAAACACATCATCGGATACATATTTTTCAAAAGCAATCGGACAAGGGAGGAGCAGGAGAAGGAACAAAACCTTGGGGTATTCTAAACACCACCTGGGCCACAAGCTGGGCTCCAAGTGCAAGGAGGAGGCGTGAAGATTTGGTGGGATAGCGATTTGGTTGCAGTGAAAGGAAAAACGTTGCATGGTTGAACAAGGACGGAGTATGGTGCACCACGTCTGTGGGGAAGTCTGTTGAAAAATATGTTGAAGCATCTATGAAATAATGGAGGGCTAAGATCAGCCCAGAACCAGCCACAGACAGCGAGTGACGATTTGGTGGCACTCCAGACAGGTGTAAGCCAGCCACCGTAGCCAACAACGCTTCACTTATGAATTCAATCGATTCTGCATTACTGCCGTCCCCCCCAAGGGGAGGCGGCAGAGGAACATACAATAATATCGAAGGGGACTTTCCGATCCAGGCCTTCGGTTTTCTCAAGACGCCCGGAGGAACGAACCTTCTCCGACCCTCAGGAGCTACTTCATCAACACCTACATCTTCACCGCCTGCTGTTTCACCGAGTCCGGCCAGTACACACTACAATTTCAACGTCGTCTCATTCAACGTCAAAGGCCTTGCAAACGACGATCGCATTGAGGAGTTGATGACAGAGGTTGAAGGCATCAAAAGGGATATTATGATACTTACGGAAACATGGAGGAAGCAAAACACATAGCTATTCACGACAGACTGGGGACACATCTTTGGAGGATCAGCTGGCGCAGCTGACGGAAGGAAAGGTGTTGCCATAATGGTTCACAAATCATGTAAGTTGCTTGATTGTGTACCGGCGAATGAAAGAATAGCGTACGCTGGTATCAAATACGCTTAACACGACTTGCGAGGTGTGGTAGCGCATTTCCCAGACTATACATACAAAGATGTGGAGGTGCAGAAGATGTATACGGCACTTTGTACAATAAAGCGGGAAACCAAAAAACAAGTATTTTTCTGATTGGTGGGGATCTTAACGCACAAGTGGGAAGCTGGATGACGGACAATCAGGAGAGCACGATTGGATGTCACGGATTTGGTGCAGAAGCTTGGCGTGGCCAGTGGCTTAAACAGTGGTGTGGGCAATACGACCTCAACATAACGAACACATTCTTCTCCAAACCCCCACTAAAGATAATTACGCACCATTTGAGCAATGGGCAGCCGCGCCAAATCGATTATGTACTTATTGATAAAAACATGCGCCGGCACGTCACGAATTCTGGCTCTACCGCTGTGCCAGATTTGGGATCCGACCACAAGCCAGTGCAAATTACTTTGAAGTCGTTGAAAAGAACACGCAAGAGGAAGCATACCGGCCCAAAAGACCATACAGCACGTTTGTGTTACAAAGATGGCTTTGCACGGCATGCTCATGAGCATCTTGCAAAATTGGGTGGGGTCACAGAATACGGGACCATCGACGAGTCCAACGCTCAGGTCGAGTGTTGTTTGATTGGTGCCAAAGAGTCGTATGCAGCAGAGTCGAAATTAAGTTCCTCTCTGGCGCAAGAGGCACGCGATGAAGATGGTGCAGTACGAGATCTACTACAAGAGAGACGATCGACACCACACCGCTATGGCAACATGCGCGCGAAGCTCAGCAAGCAGATTCGCACCATTGTGAAGACCATGAAAACTGAAACACGCAGGCAACGCATAAGGCACACTTCAGGTACATCCGCAGGCCTGAAGCACATCAAGACCACAAAGACAAGGGAGAGGAGAAACATGATCGTGAAGATGGTGGACAAAACTGGTGCGCAGCGCACAGGCCGGAAAGATATTTCCAACGTGTTTTCTGTTTTCTACGCTGATCGTTATGCTACAACACACGTACGCCCTGAGCAAAAAACAACGCAACGTGGTGTACCAGTTGCTTCTATACCGCGGTTTACTCACGAAGAGCTCGAACACGCATAAAAACATCTTAAAGCAGGCAAGGCGCCAGATAGTACTGGGATTGCTGCAGAAATGTTAAAGTTTGGGGGCGAAGCTGTACGACATGCTGTGCTCGACATGTAAAACGCCATCATCAAGCCCGAGGCGCCGGTTCCAGCCCAATGGAAAGACACTGTCATGACAATGTTGTTCAAAGACGGGGACCGTACGCGACCATCCAACTACAGACCTATATCCACAATACCCGTTCTCTACAATTTTTTTGCTCGACTACTCTACCAAAGCTTGGACAAATTCTTGAGCGCGGAACAGTCGTGCGACCAAGCTGGATCCAGGAGTGGGATCTCAGCAATAGATCATATATTTGCTTTGTCGTGCGTCCAAGAGAAGGCAGACGAATTTCAGCAAACAGTGTGGTATTGCGCACTAGATTTCAAGAAGGCCTTCGACACTGTAGAGCACGATTCTCTTTGGGAAGCGCTCCGTGGGCAAGGCGTTCCGGAACCTTACATTCAATTTCTTCGTTCTCTCTATGCAGACCAGCGCGGACGAGCGAGGACGGACGTATTCAGCGACGGGTTCAAGATAGAACGTGGGACGAAACAAGGCGATCCATTATTTTCATTGTTGTTCAATGCTTTGCTCGAACATTGCATCAGACCGTGCAAAAAAGGCTGGGCCATAAATGATTACGGAGTACGGTTGGACCCTGTGGGCTGCAACAGGCTGACTAATGTACGTTTCGCCGACTATGCGCTGGCAGTTGTGACCACCCTGCACCAGATCAAGCAGATGCTGTCGGACATCCAGATATCTACCGCCAGCGTGGGTTTGTCATTGCACCCGGACAAGAAACATATATTCACAAATGCGCGCAAGAAGTCTGGGGGGCGCGTCCTCGGGTGATCCAGACAATACAAACATGGAGCCGTGGGCAGATTTCATCCGAAGGGCAACGCGGATGGCAGAAGAACAATTACAGGCTGCACGTGTTGATCCATGGTTTTGTCAGCAAAGGAGACGGAAATGGCGATGGGCTTACCGGGTGGCAAACATGGACTCCGACCGCTGGGTTTCGCAAGCGATGTCTTGGGATCCCGCGTTGACTTCACACAGCGCGTCGGTCCACTGGCAGGCCAAAGAGGCGTTGGGACGACATCCGGGAGTACATCAACCAGCAAAATATCGGCATTTCGTGGCAACGTTGTGCGACACAGCGCAATTTGTGGAGCGCTTTGGAGGAAGGGTTTGTGTCACAGTGACCATACTGAGCCTGTGTAGTGCACATGCATTTTTCCCATTTGCTGGCAGCCGGCAGCCCCCCTCTCCTCCTCCTCCTCCTCCTCCTCCTCCTCCTTCCTCCTCCTCCTCCCTCCTCTCCTCCTCTCCTCCTCCCATCCTCCTCCTCCTCTCCTCCTCCTCCTTCCTCCCTCCTCCTCCTCCTCCTCCTCCTCCTCCCTCCTCCTTCCTCCTCCTTCCTCCTCCTCCTCCTCCTCCTCCTCCTCCTCCTCCTCCTCCTCCTCTTGCCCGTCTTAGCCGGCAGGATGTCTCTGGCTGAATGCTTGCACGCCAGAGTTGCACACCAGAGGGTTTATTAACAGCATTTAATTGCGTGTGCTCGTTGCCGTCATAATTTTCCGACATGGTCAGCGCACGGTCTGCCCTGTAAGGGACCGCTCTGGCTACCGGAGCCGGTGCAGACTTCGATTCCAATGCAGTGATAGCCACAGTCTTTCCAATGTGAGGGGCTGCGTGTCCCATGCGCCTGCCCTCTGAGAGGACCGCCTTTCGGGGCTGGAATGCGGGCTTGTCTGTCTGTCTGTCTGTCACTGTGCCCACTCTTTCCGTGCCCATTTCTTACCAGCCTGGAACATATCCCTATCCCTATGCTGGGCATCGCCTCATCACGATACCGATCTTAGGGATTCCGTTCATTTTTTGAGGGCGCACCCCTAAGATTGTCATCGCCTTTTCGCGTGTCAATCTTAGGGATAGGTATAAGTTCGAGGCTGGTGAATTTCGGGCGTCCAAACCCTCCGCGCGCCCTCCGGCAGAGGAGCAGCAGGAACGGCGGCGCCCCGAGAAGTGGTCCCACGAGCGGTCCCCCGCGGGCCAGCGGTCCCCGCAGAGCAGCTCCAGCCCCAGTGCTGGCGTCGCCGGCAGCCGCGCCAACTCGCCCGGGAGCCGGAGTTCCCTGGCGGACCTCGGGGGGGCGACAAGAAAAGGTCCAGGAGGAGGAGGAGGAGGAGGGGGAGGAGGAGGAGGAGGAGGAGGAGGAAAGAGGAGGAGGAAGGAGGAGGAGGAGGAGGAGGAGGAGGAGGAGGAGGAGGAGGAGGGGGGGGACGAGGTCGAGGAGGAGGAGGAGGAGGAGGAGGAGGAGGAGGAGGATGAGGGGGAAGCGATCCAGCAGGATATCCATGAGGAAGATATGCTGTGGGAAGTCACAACGTCGCGAAAAGTGAGTCGAAGACAAACAAACCCCATAAACATAACAACTTTTGGCGTTCCGCGCGGGTTTCTTGGCTCCGCGCTCGGGCCCTAGCGCCGGCGTCCCCGGCAGCCGCGCCAACTCGCCCAGGGGCCGGGCGGAGCTTCCTGGCGGACCTCACGGCCCAGGCCCCCTCGCGCGGTGAAAAACAAATCGCGGCGCTAGGTTTTTGTTCGTTATGTTTGGCCTCCGGGGGCCCTTCCCACGCCCATGGGACCGACCAGGCCCCGGGGCCGTCTAAAAACGACTCGGGATGAGAAACCGGTCCCAGAGAAGGGGTCCAGATTTCTGGAGGTCGGCGTTGCGAAAAAAACGTAACTTCATCGTTAGATGCTCGTTGTGGGGATATTCCTGGAGCCCACCGAAGCGGATCTGATCTGTACCACTAGGTCGATTCAGGTTCGATTAAAGTTCGAATATAGTTCGACTCAGGTTCGATTCAGGATGGAGTATCAGGGTCGACTCAAATCGATGGACGTTCGACGCAGCTTCGACGCACGAGTGGAGCGAGTATCTCCAGGACGGTCCCAAGAATGAACATCCAATCATCGAAGAAGAAAACACGACATAAACATGATCTTTTGGCGCTCCGTGCGGATTCTTGGATCCGCGCTGGCCCCCCCCCGGCGGTGCCTCGGGCGCTGCCCCTGGCGGACGGAGCGCGCCAGGGACGGGGGTCCAGCGCAGACCCAAGAAATCCGCGCGGAGCGCCAAGTGTTTATGTCTGTGCCGTGTTTTGTTCCTTCTGCTCAGGGGGAGCGACAAAGGCTGTCCAGGCTTCCCAGATAGGATCCGAGCAGATGGGGTCGGAGGATCGCGCCGCATCGCCGATGCATCGGCGATGCGTCTCGACGCGGAGCCCGATTCTCTCCACGCCGACGTCGCGATTGCGTCGCCGACGTCGCCGATGCCTCGGGTATCAGCGATGCGGGATATTCCTTCGATCCCATCTACTCAGACCCTACAGTGACCGGCTTGAATAGGGAACACTCACTTGTCAAAAGGGGCTCGGTCGTTCCTTAGGTTTGCATGCGTTGTTTATCGTACATGATTCGTTATTTATGATATATCGCTCCTTATGCGTTATTCCCTGAGGAAAAGAAGGGGCTTTGTTCCTTATGTAGCGTTCCTTATAGGTCAGGCCGGTGATTGTACTCGGACCCCATCTGGGAGGCCTCTAATTGTTGGTTGCAGTTGCCCGGGAGGTTGGGTGCAGCATCTCGGGGAAGCGAAGGCATGGGTTACGGCATGTGGATTGGCGCCGGGTCCCGTGGCGCTGCGTCGGCGAACTGGGCTTCAGTCGGGCCTGTCCCTCCTCAGGAGGAATCTTTGAAAATAGTCAAACAAATAGTCTGGGGACGATTTCTCCACTAGTTTTTAGCATTTCTCTTTTCTGTTTTGAGCCGTTCTGGCTCAGGTGTTGATTCCTGAGCTTGCAGCAGCAGTCTTCAGAGCGGCAGTCGCTGCTGCGAGCCCCGTTCCCATTCTTCAGTTTGTGGGATCACAACCCACACTTTCATCCACAGCCTACGGGCTCTCATGGCCGATGGAGGCGCGGAGGTCCTACCTGGACCAAAGGCGCCGACCTGGGCGTGCTCACGTGGTCGCAACACCAACTGGGCGTCCAGGATCATATGCAGATGTGGGAAGATGGCACCGCCTGAGGTGCGCCGTGCAGCCGAGCTTCATGCGCGCGGCCAGCAGCATCGTCAGCGTGCTGGCCTTCCTCGTGGCGGTGTGGGTGGTCGAGACGACCAACTCCAGAATAGGCTGGACGAGCTACATCGCAGGTTCGACAACTTGGCAGGAGGAGGGAACCAATCCCCAGCACCTTCTGCCAGCCACCTCGCCAAGGAACCGCCGAAGGATTCCAAGGAGCAGGGGCTGCGTGACAGCATCAAGCAGCTCGAGGTGGTCATTTCGCACTGCGAGAAGTTTGGCGAGTCGGGCACAGGTGCCAAGGCAGAGCTCGAGGTCAAGCTAGAGGCCGTGCGTCGTGATTTACACCAGACCAAGCCTCAGCTCACTCAACATACTAATGTGGCTCATCGCTTGGCAAGTGCTAGAGGTAAGACGCAGAGACTTGAGCACCATATCGAGGAGCAGCTACGCTTCATTGCAAGTGCGCAAGAGAAGATTGATGGCATGCGGGCACATGTTGCAGCTATGGGCCGTGAGATCGAGCTCCTCAATCGGGACCTCATTCGCACGTTGCCTGGCAAGCCTGTCGTGGATCTGGAGGTCGACCCTGAGGTTCTGGCTGCTTCGAGTGAGCCAGCGCAGATTCAGGAGATGCTCCAGTCCGAGACGTTCAAGAAGTTCGCGGAGCTGCTGGCGGCCTCCCAGGCGAAGGCATCGCCCGCGGCAGCGGCGCCATCGCCTTTCACGTCCGAAGGTGCTGATGCTCGTGGTCATGTGGCTCCTAGTGATGCATCGGACGCGAGTGGAGGTGGCGCGGCTGAGGCACAACGACAGCCGACGCCAGGCTTCGAGCATGATGACGACCTCGATGAAGCCATGGTCGAGGAGATATTCAATGCAGCCGTTCGGATTGACAAGCGTGGGTTCATCGAGCAGTTCGGTAGCAGGTTGTGCAAGAAGCCGCGCCTGGGGTAGCCCTATGCTCCCGCGTTGCTGCGGCTTGCCGGTGTCTAAATTCGGAGTTCCTGCTCCACCTCCGCCTCCCCCCGACTCGCTCGACTCGTCCTCGCTTGCTGGCTTGGGCGAAAGCGTCGAGTCCTACAAATGTAATTGTTGGCTGACATTACGTGAGAGGCTTTGCTCGACGTCGGCGCTCGTCCTGCTGGCGCAGGAGATCGGGGCCCTCGAGGAGCGCGAGGGTGAACGAGCGGCCTCAGCGGCCAGCTTGGGGTGGCAAATGTTTTGCCCCCCCCTCCCCTGCTGGGAAATCTGGGGGGCCTCGGGCGGGGGTCGGGGTTTTCGTCCGCGCGCGCTTTGGCCTGCGGTGGCCGTCGGATGCCCCTGGGATTGTTGCCAAGGGGCGCATCATCCATGTGATTGTTGACTTGCCTGGATGGCCGCCCCTGCGCGTGTTTTCGTGCAACTTTAAGTCGGGGGCGGGGTTGCGTGCGTTCAATCTCTCCCTTCTGAGACAATTAGGAGATAGGCTCACGGGGAAACGCATGCACGTTGCGGGGGGAGACTGGAACCTCGACCCCCACCTGTTTGATTCCACGGGACTGCCTCGCAGAGTCGAAGGGGCCCTTCTTGTGCCAACGCAGAAGACCTGTCTGTCCCCAGGAAGCCCCACCACGATCGATTTTTTTTTTTCAGCGAGCACGCGCTTTGCACGTGCCTGTGATAAGGTTGAGGCTGACATGCCCTGGACCCATCGCCCCCATAGGCCCGCGTGCATCGCGTCGCGTTGCGATGCCGTTCGGCGCCGTCAGCTGATGCATCGGACGCATCAAAGACCCCCGATGGAGTTGCCGTTTGGGCCGACCCCCAGACCCCGGGACTGGGCCCTCAGCCGTATCATTGCTGAGGTCGCTGCTGCTGCGGCTCTCACTCGCCCCGTCGGCGGGGCGCGGGAGCTTCTCGCTGTTGCCTGGACGTATTTTCCAACAAGCTCGAGCTTGAGATCGAGGCTTTCACGGGCGTGGAGGTTAAAAGCAAAGGACACAAAGGGGGCCTCTTGAGAGCGCGGTGGGCCCCGATTTTTGCAAAACCCAAGGCCTGTGGCCTCCGTGAGCAGCACGTCGGGTGGATCTGGTTGGCCCGATATTTCTCCGAAACCATTGGGGCGTCGGTTCATTTTCGAAGGGCGGCCCAGGAACCCGATCCCACGGGCCAAGTTCAGTTTCAGCGGTTGTCTGAGGATGCGAGCCACCAGACCCAACAACTTCTTATGTTACCATGCCCTGGTGAGGGGCAGAATGTTAGACTCGACGCGACCCTCGCCCGGGCGCGCACCTCGGCTCGTTCTTTTACGCTCGATGACGGCCTCGACGGCTGGATTGAGCAGTCTCAGGAGTTTCTGTCGTCTTGGGACGACGACCTGTGCGAGGCGCGCAAGGCTGTCGCGAAGATCCAGCAGGACAGTTGGGATCAATGGCAGGAGAAGGCTCTGTCTGGGGGTGCGCGGGCCATGCGCAGGCTCGCGAAATTCAAACAGGGGTGGGCCCCGACCGTCGTGCAAAATCTTCCTGGTTGTTTTTCTAATTCCCCCCAAGAGCTGCTTAAGGCTGAAGGCAAATCCCTGTCCGAGTTCTGGCACGCGTCTCGCATGCCGCCCGAAGTAGCGTCCCGGATCGGGCGCGCCTCCCCAGGCCGACGGCGGCCGAGATTAGGGGTGCGCCCAGCAGTTTTTCGCACATGACTTCGCAGCCCCTCGACGGACTGCACCCGAGACAGCTCGCGTTGGTTTTCGGACGATGCACTTGACACGTTTGGGGCGTTAATCCAAGGGATTGAGTCCCTGGGCCTTTTTTCCGAAACAGCTGTTCTGGCTTCTGTCCCCTCTGTTGGAAGAACCCAAGGGAGGTCTTCGACCTATATTGCTTTGCGCCGGCCCCGTCCGTGCCTGGGAACGTTTACGGAGACTTCTGATTGTGGATTTCAACACTAACTACCCTCGCAGCTACTGGGCGTTTGGCCCTGGCCGTAGTGCTGAGTGTGCCGTGTGGCACCAGGCCGTCCATGCCGAGATGGCCCACTTTGAGAATCAGGAAACGGGGGGTATCATATGGGAT